GGAAGCTAGGAATATCCTACATAGTGTATGTTCAGGAAAGTTACACAGAAGAAACCTTTCAGAAGCAGGCAGTTATATCTAAAAACTTAAAAATGGGACATTTTGCTTGCACAAGAAGTAGCAGGATTGCCTTATACCCAGCTACAAGACAGGCCAGAGGAAATCCACATAGCCACTGAAAGTATCAGACATGGGAGTCAAAGGGAAAAAAGAGCTAGAACAAAACTAAGTCACATCCTGTCCCCTAAAAACCACTGGGAAATACAAGCATATTAGAAAGGTCAAACTACAGCGACACAAACATTCCTGTCTATTGTGATCAGAAGCTTAATCATTCTTTCAGGGATAAAAAAAAGTTTTTTTCTGATGTATCAACCTTATTTCATGTGCTGCAATTTAAGCTCATGATTACACAGAACCATAGGATGTATTGGGCTGGAAAGGACCTCCAAAGGCCATCTAGTCCAACTCCCCCACCATAAGCAGGGACATCTCTAACTAGGTCAAGCTGCTCAGAGCCTCATCAAGCCTGACCTTGAATGTCTCCAGGGCTGGGGCCTCCACCACCTGTCTGGGCAGCCTATTCCACTGATATACTACCCTCACACTGAAGAACTTTTTCCTAACGTCTAACCTAAATCTACCCTTTTCTAGCTTAAGCCCATTACCCCTTATCCTATCACTACCAACCCCTGTGAACAGAGCCTCCCCTGCTTTCTTGTAGGCCCCTTTAAGGTACTGGAAGATTGCTATAAGGTTTCCCCCAGAGCCTTCTCTTCTCCAGGCTGAACAACCCCGACTCTCTCAGCCTGTCTTCACAGCAGAGCTGCTCCAGCCCTTGGATCATTTTTGTGATTCTCCTCTGAATATGCTCCAACAGCTTCACGTCCTTCTTGTGCTGAGGGCTCCAGAGCTGGACACAGGACTCCAGGTAAGGTCTCACCAGGCCAGAGTAGAGCAGCAGGATCACCTCTCTCCATCTGCTGACCACACTTCTTTTGATGCAGCCCAGGATTCGATTGGCCTTCTGGGCTGCTGCTGCACATTGGTGGCTCATGTCCAGCTTCTCATTTACTAGTACCCCTAAGTCTTTTTCCAAAGGACTGCTCTCTAGCATGTCTTCTCCCAGCCTATATTGATAATGCTGGTTGCCCCTGCACTCAAGTCTTGTTGAACCTCAAGAGGTTCACCTGAGGCCACCTCTCCAGCCTGTCCAGGTCCCTCTGGATGACACCCTGTCCCTCTGGCATATCAAGATTTGTCTTTCAAGTCACAGAAAATATATTCTTCTAACACAGGAAAGATTTCCACAAAGAGGAAGTGAAGAAACTTAACATATTCCTTTTACTAGAATGCTGACCTTAATAGTTAATACATGTGGATTCTGTGCCTGAAGAAAGAAGAAAGCAGTTAATCAATGCTGAAGCTGACAGAGAAATTAAGAATTCATGTTCAAAGTGTTAAAGAGAACAGTGTTCAAACTTAAGAGTGTAAGCTAGCTAGGAAATGTGGCAGTGAGAAAGATAAAAGGATCACAGTGCAGGCCAGAGGTACTAAGCAAGTCAACACAGAGTTTGAATAGAATCTACATGAGCAAACCAAACTAGTTTGGAAGCAATGGACCTGTGGTATTCCCAGTATTAATGAAGCATATGCTGATTTATGGCATTCTTCTCACTAATATTAAGTAGCTGCTACTAAACTACATGCTGCCATGGCTCAATTGCTTTCAGTACTTGAGCTTATCTCAAACTAGCTAGCAGAGGTAACTTCATACTACAATGCAGATTAAAGTCTTATGCTGAACAGCATTTAGCAGTAATGGCTAGCAAAACAACCAGCAACTGAAAATTGACTAGTGGAAAGCACAACTCTTCCATCTTGCTCACACCTAAGTGTTGTTGTGGTTTTTCTTTTTTTTTGTTGTTGATTATGACAATGAAGTTCACAACAGAAAATATATTGCTTGGAATGTTTACAGAGTCCCGAGTTTCATTATGGTATAACTTCATTTAAAAGGAAGGAGTCCCAATACAGGTAAACTTAAAAACAGAAAAGCTGTTTGTCAGGGTATTACTTTATAGGCAGGTCCTTGCTGCTTGGACTTTTCCACTGTTCTTTACCACTAACATGGATGGTTCGTTGCTTAACAGTAAAAACTCTTCTTATAAAACAAAACCTCATTGCAATGCAAACCTCCCGAGTCAAGTGAAAAAAAAAAAAAAAAAAAGCCAGGATGCAAACCTTGCTTAGACTGGCTGGCAAGGAGCGAAGAACAAAGGCACATGGCTTCACCAGCTCACCAAAAGAACTCATTTGTAATAGCACTTTCTTCCACTCACAGGACAGAAATCTAGACTTCTGGTGGCCTTTTTCTTAGCATATGAATAGCTTGTTAAGAGCACAGTCTTATTAACAGTAGCAGGCAGCCTAGATCCCACATATGTGGGAATTCAGCCAGGAGATGAGTAGATGCTCTTCTCGGACACAAAACATGTTTTTGGAGTTGCATATACTTTAGGTCTAGGGGAAATCAAGGGTCTTTAGGTGAAAGCAAGAAATATTGCTCAGAGAGCAAGAAGCTCAGCATATCAAGACATTTTAATACTAGTGGTTTAAAATATTTACAATGGACTAAGTTCTCTCTGGATACTCACCCAAATATAGTGCTGTTCTACTACAGGCAAATTTAAATGCTAAATGAGCCACAATTTCTATGGAAATAGGAGCACAGGACAGCACTTCCACAAATGGCTGCAACAAACTACACCTGCATTTTTATGATCTATATTGCACAGTAACAGCATCCCTTCGACATGCAGAACCTGTTCCTCTTTCATTGTTTAGAGCTTTTAACAGGACAAAGATATATGAACCACAGGTAGATAAGCCTCACACTGGTCACCTACCTTTAGTATCAAAGTGTCTCCTTCTCTACAGTACTCAGGGTTAAGAAACTCTTCCCCAGAGTTATACTGGACCCAAGGTTGAATTTCAGAAGCCTGCCAAATCAGTTTGCAGTTCTGGAATTTAAGCAAAATGGATTTATATCCAATCCAAGCCATTTAGTAGTACGGTAACGTTCAACACTAACCAAGCTAAACTATACTGAACCAGTAGCAAATACAAGCTGTCTGGCTTCTAAGCACCTACAGAATTCAGGAATCAGTGTTATCTCAACTCCTACATAAGAACTTGTGGAGGCCTCTGAGTATAAATCCCCCTGTTTGCAACAATTAGCACACAGCAACCCAAGCACATATACAATATAAGATCATTCAAACATAAGAAGCAAAACCATTCAGCTTATACTACAGTTCTATTCATGTCTGACTACTAAGGAGATACCACTTGTTCCCAACTTCAGTGTGTAATACAAAATACAATATACCAAGGCTTTGGAAGTTTGTGCTTCTTTGTTTTTTTTTTGGTTGTGTGGGGTTTTTTTTGTTTGGCTTTTTTTTTTATTTAAAGACAACATCATAACTATTTGAGACCTACTGATAAATTATGCAGTGCAAGAAAGCCATGGGTTCTTAGAAACAAGTAACTTACAACAGTTTAAAGTTCAGTTAGGCTTTGCTTTAGAGTGTTTTATCAGAAAAAAGCACTGCCAAATAGAGCCGATTCAGAAAAATTTTCCATGTTCCAGCGTCAATTCTCTGCATTTTCTAAAGTAAGCTGATAGTTTCCTGATCCACAAGCAAGTACTTGGTGCTATGTTGTCAAGTCTTCTCTACTACAAACCCGTGTCTTCCAGCAAGATTAACAATGAAGTACAAGCATTGTAATCTCTCCGTAACTGTCCTCACTGCACAGATATGTTCAGGCTCTTGACTGTGGAGCTTCTTTCTGCCTTGTAGCTAGTAAGAGCAATGTACTTTAAGGTTTCTTAGCTTTGTTTTGTGCAATGCTGAAGCCAGTTTTAATCAGGCAGAGGGAGGTTTTCTTATGAGCCAGGGTCATCTTGATATTATTAGACTGGAATCTTACCAAGCACAGCTACAACATACAACACAACATTATGCTGATAATCCTGAGATTCACCAACACTTTCGATAGCAGATTTTGTTAGCAGGCTTGCTACTATATCCAGGAAATTTAACATCAGAGTCCTAGGAGGCCTTTCAGGTTATAAACCACATACTGTACTAAGAATGAAAATCTAAGCCCCAGGGACATATAACCTGAAACCCACCTTCAGAAATGAAAGTACAATTGCAAAAGTATACTTCTACAGCAGCATAACAAGAAATTCAAGCCCCTCACACAAAATATATTGCCTTTAACAGACTACACATTAGAAATATCTTTTCCTGTGTGATATTTCTTTGGGTATCTGAGAATATTACATTGATGTCAGTTTAGCTGAGCACACCTTTGCATGATAAAGAACATAAGCAACTGGTAGAAATTCTGAACACTCTGCAAATAAGGCAACTGAAGCCATGGAAAGCAGAGCAGTGAATAAGCATGGCCATAACATAAAACACCTTAAACGCATAATTAGCATACAGCAGTTACAGAACAGCTATTCATCCGCTGCTGTTGAGGCAACAGATTCTTCCTTAATTGTAATCACATGATGTTAACTTTCCACCAAGTTCAGCGAGGTTTGTTGTGCTCTCTTTCTCCAGTATTGTTTCAAATAAAATGAACAAATACAATACAATCAAGCTTCCAGCAAACCTTAGATACAGATTTATTTAAGTGAAGACACTTAAAACTGGTGTTCATACCAAAGATTAAGCTTCTAGCACACCAGGACTCCATTTGAACAAATACACTGGAATTATAAACAGAAAACGAGACATGTTTATAGGGAGGATATACAGAGATTTATTTAATCAGGTTTACTATTTACAATTTAGATCACTTTCACATATTACTTCGCTACTCTACATGGCTACATTTTTTCCAAACCAATTTAAGATCTACAGTCTGACAGTTCACTCAACACATAAAACCG